AACCATATAGGCCTGGCCATGGATGACTGAAGGTGCCCAGGCTCTGACCCAACAACTGTGACCTCCCACAGGGAGTCTCGGGTAGCCATTACAGTATGTGGCGATCCATTTCCTTCCTCATGGACACTGAGGCCACTTACTCGATCCTGAGGGAGTTTTGGGGACCCACCTCTCCTTCTTGTCTCCCTATTGTTGGGGTAGGGAGACAGCCTTACCTACCTTATCAGACGCCACCACTTAACTGTATTTTCAGGGATATCCCTCTCACCCAGTTATTTTTGGTCATGCCAACTTGCCCTGTGCCCCTAATGGGAAGAGATTTTTTTTAGCCAAGGTAGGAGCTTTCATTTCGTTTGCTCCCCCCATTCGCCTGATCCCAGACTCACCAGCAGCTCCTCTCCTCCTCCTCCTGGCCTTTTATCCCACCCCCAACCCAGGGGAATTCCTCATCATACACGGTGACATAAACAGGGCCCTGCTCTCTTAAGGTCCAGAGGACACCAAGATCAACTGCCTTGTCTCCATTTCCAGAAGAATGAAGTTTTGTCCCAAAATCGTATTCAATCCTACTGAATTGGGTACTCCATATGTTTTTCCTTCCTGATTCCCTCCTCTGCCTTCTCCTGTCTCTACCAACCACATTCTGCTTCATCAGTTTCCCTCTGTGTCTCTAATAACATATTCAAATTTCTAATTAACTACTCAGCTAACTGTTACAGGACCACCAACAGCCATAGCGTGGGAGGCACAAGGACCATCAAATATACTCAGGAGGGAGTTGGCTTGGACCCACCCGGACAGGGCTCAAAACAACAGCGAAGACCATCAGCTACCTCAAGAAAAGCCCGTCCCCTCACCCCCCAAAAAATTAACTGACACCCACCAACTCAGCTGGAAGCAGTTCCAAGAGACATGGCACCCCCATTCCCATTCACCCACCACCCCTAATCTATATATATATATATATATATATATATATGGAATGTTATTATTCCTAGCTAGTCACTCCAGGGCCTTCCGTCCTACATAGTCCGTGTGCAGTGTTGTCACATAATCTGCATGCAGCATGATCACGTAGCTACTACATAAACCCATATACGCACGTGCAAGGTGACCTATAAAAGCAGGCTCTCCCTGCTCTCCAGGGGAGCGCGTACCCCCACCCCCCCACCCCCACCCCGCACCTTTCTTTTCGGTAGGCCGACCCACCTCCACTTTTCTCTTCCCTGATAAAAACTCTTTTTTTTTAATTTATTTTAATTTATTTTGCAATACAATTCAGTTCTACATATCAGCCACAGATTCCCTTGTTCTCCCCACTGATAAAAACCCTTATAGTGGGCTCCATTGTACCTCATGTTTTCTCGAGCCCGGTAGGTAAATAATGTCGACAAACAAATAACAGTTTCTTTGATTTTTTTTTCATTTGTTCAGAGCTGGAAATTGAACCCAGGGCCTCAGGCATGCTAATCAAGCATCTTATTTTTACATCCTCAGCTGCCAGAGTTTCTTTCTTGTTGGAAGTGGTGACACACACATTTAATTTGGGAAATGGAGGTAGGTAGATTAGGAATTAGGGTCACCCTTTGCTGCAAGGCACAAAAATATACAAAGTAGGATTTCAGCTGATTGTGACAAAGATAATACCTGGAAAAAGCCAAGGGCCTTCCAGAGGTCAAGCTGAGGCTCAAGGAGCCTTGGTGATATTGGCTTTTGATTATCAGCTGTTTCCTGCTTCTTATGTGCTGTTGTAGCTTTTCCATCATTTACTGGGCACCATTTCCCCTCTACTAAAGGAATACTTAGATAACCTGCGCTGACAGCTATGCACAGCCAGGATCGCAGTTCAAGCCTCCCTGTAATTATCGCCATTGGCAGCATCCGGCCAGGTCCATCCCCAGAGGAGGAAAGTACCTTATCAGAGATACCTCTGTACTCTCTAAGAACAGAATTAAGCGTCCAGACTACCTGTTTGAGAAGGTCTGGCGGATGTGCCAATTAAGCTTAACTTCCTCCTTTCCCAAATCTTACCTCTAGTTCCAGATCTCCCTTCAACTATCACCAAAGGTATCTAGCTGTACTCAGGTTGCCTAGTGACTGAACACACCTTCCTCCATCCTGAAGAAAAAATGGCAGATAACTTGAATAGATAGGAGCCACAGGAAAAAACAAGGTGGTTTTATTTTCTCCCATTGACTAGGAACTTATAGATTCTTAACATTTTCTACCAAACACGTTTAAGATTATAGTTGAGCACATAAGACCCCTCTTCTTAGATATTACCCAAATTTAGCCTTTAGCTAATTCATTTCCCCATTGGCCACTTCCCTTTGGGATTGCAAATGATAATTAACGGTTATTGCCCCTCTATGTGATTCTTATCACACCGCTATTTGAACTTGGAAGCCTGGCTTTGCCCTGCCAAGGGATTACTGCTTGTAAGTGTATACATACTGGGACTTCCAGGGCATGAGAGGACAGAGAAGAGTAAAGAGAATTGAAGAACTAGATGGGCAAGAACTTGAGAGGAACAAACTGAGATGGGGAAGAACTAGGTTGAAGGGCTAAAAGAGAGGACTAGAGGAACGAGATGAAAGATGAGGAAGAGCCAGATGGGGAAGGACAAGATGGGAGAGAAGGATATGGGAGAGGAGCTGATATGGGAAAGAACTAGATGGATGAGAATCTAGAAGAACTAAGATGAAGGAATTAAGATAGAACCTAGAGGGGATAGCAGATAAATGTAGAGAGAAATTGGGCAAGAAAGGAGTTAAAAATGAGAGCAGAGTATAAGCTTGTAGAGAAAGAACTGGCACAGAATAATGAAGTGTATGGACTAAGGAATTTTGTGTACATAGATTCATTTCTTTTCTTCAAAGATTAATTATCAGCTGGTTGTAGATTCTTCCTGGACCCTGGGAGGGGACTATCGAGGGGCTGGACCCACATAGTCCCCGACAACCCTTGGCTACATGGTCAGTTTGAGGCCAGTCTGGGCTACATAAGACCTTGAGACGAACAAAACAAAACAAATAAACAAACAAAAAACAAAACCCCAAAAATCAAAATAAAAAAAAATAGGGGCCAGAGAGCTGCAGACAGATGGCTGAGCTTGTAAAAGTGCTAATCATCAAGCTTGAGGATTTGAGTTTGATCTTTGGAACTTGCATGGCAGGAGAGATCTGACTACTACAAGTTGTCCTCTGACCTCCACAGGCACGCACCCTCAAAGAAGTAAATAAAAGTACTTTTTAAAAGTGAAAAGAGCCAGGCAGTGGTGGCGCACACCTTTAATCCCAGCACTCGGGAGGCAGAGCCAGGCGGATCTCTGTGAGTTCGAGGCCAGCCTAGACTACCAAGTGAGTCCCAGGAAAGGCGCAAAGCTACACAGAGAAACCCTGTCTCGAAAAACCAAAAAAAAAAAAAAAAAAAGTGAAAAGAAAAAAACACAACAGGGGCTCAGAGGGTAAGAGCTCTTGCTGAGCAAATGTGAGGACCTCAGTTCAAGTCCCCACACCCACACTAAAAGCCAGACAGGCCCCATGCCCCTGTAATTCCAGTTCTGGGGCGCTGTTGGTAGAGACAGGCAGGTCCTAGGAGCTTGCTGGCCACCCAGAGAGCTAAAACAGACGGCTCCAGGTTCAGTGAGAGACCTTCTCTCAACGGAGTAAGTACGGGAATGGTAGAGGAAGACATCTGACAACTTCTCTAGCCTCCTGTGCACATATGTGCGTACACACACATTTGGAAACCACATACCCACACAAAATAAGGAAAATAAAATTAAAACACGACAAAGACCTTGCCTCTTAGTTCTCCTTCAAACCCTATTATAAAACTTGTAATGTAGTAAGCTTTCAGGAAAAAAAAATCCCTGAAACAAATCAAAATGTTTGAATTTAGTGGTTGTGGAAGATCCTAAGAATCATCAGGGTTTGCTCCCATAGAGACACATCTAGGAGGGGGAACCTGAAGTGAAGAAATGCCTCCCTTGGGTTGGCCTGTGGGCATGTCTATAGGGCATTTTCTCAATTGCTAGGGAACCCATGCTACTGTGGGCTGCACCATCTCTAGGCATGTGGGCCTGGGCTATACAGGAAAGGTAGGTAGTTCAACAAGACGAGCCTGAAAGCAAGCCAGCAAGCAGCAGGTCCTCTGTGGTCTGTGCTTCAGTCCCGTCCTTGAGTTCCTGCCCTGCCTGGCTACCCTGGATGATGGCTTTTAACCTATAAGCCAAGGAAACCCTTTCCTCCCCAGGCTGGTTTTGGTCAGTATTTTATGACAGCAATCAGGGCAAACCACAACACATAGTTTGTGTAATCAGGGAAGATGGAAAGTGGACATAGCACATGAGGATGCACACTGTGGATCTCTGTGAGCCCCAGGCCAGTCAGGCTTTCACAGTGACGTATGTCTCAAAATGAATGGGTAAATAAGTAAAATATTAGTGAAAGGGATTGCAAGTAGCTCACAGAAAGTCCCGAGTGGCAGGCTGTGGAAGTAACACGATGAAAACATTCTAGGACGATCAGCCTATTAGTTTTAATGGCAATGAAAGATAAGAGGCTCACAACTCTGAACATTAACTTGGAATTCTGAAATACCTAGACTTCTAGCAGGGGTCATCTGAAGTTAAGTCCCATGTTAGGTCATTTAGAAACTAAAACAGTGCAGACAAGCCCTGATCACTGAAGAATTCTATTAGAGATCATTTTGTCAGCAGTGGAGGAAACCTGGGGTATCTACCTTTGCCCCCAAGTTCTACTGTCCTTGTGCGTAGGGCCCTGCTGGCCAACGACAGCTGCACTTTACACAGCGACTTCTATGTGCTCAGACCTTTCCTTACACACTCCCATTTAGTGAGCCAAGTGTCTCCACAAGGAAGGGAGAGGTCATCACGCCCATTTTTTTTTTTAATCGCAGAGCCATTTGGAGCCTAAGGGGAACCAGAGTCACAAAGCTGTAACCCCGGGGACTGCAGTTCTGGTCGCGAAGATAGAGCTTCCGGTGACTCGGGGGACCCAGGCTGGAGGGAAGGGAAAAGAGACTTTGGAGACCCGGCTCTCTTCTTTTAGGACTCCAGCACGCCCTTGGGCCCAGAGAAGACGACTCCTCTCCCGAGGTGACACCTGTCACCCGGCAACGTTTAGGCGCGGGTCCAAAAATCACGGTTATCTGATTGGCAAGGTTGGAGGGGCTGGACGGCGCTGATTGGTTAGCTGGCCGTCGGACCAGGCTTCACCCGGTTACGGAAGCCGACGAGGGTCGAGCGCGGGGCCGGGCCTGAAGGAAGTTAGGCGCAGAACCCCAGGTCGCGGTGGCGAGGGACTCGGACCCGATGGCGACCCCAGAGGCCAGCGGCAGCGGCGGGAACGGCGAGGGCAGCGACCCCTCCGTCACCTACTTCCGGCTGGAGGAGGTGGCGAAGCGGAACTCCGCGGAGGAGACGTGGATGGTGATCCACGGGCGAGTCTACGATATCACCCGCTTCCTCAGCGAGGTGCGGGCCTGGGAGGCGGGAGGCCGCCGCGTGCTGCTGCTGCTGCTGCGGCTGCTGCTGGGGTGAGGGGTGGAGGCCACGCGCAGCCGTGGGGGACCGCGACCCTCAGAGGGACCTCGTGGTGACAGCGGTGCCCTTCTCAATGCAGGGAGCGCTTGCAGTAGGCTAGATCACATGCCGGACCATCACCCCGTTTTCCGGAAAGGGAAACTGAGGCTCGCAGAAGCCTTGAGAACTCTCAAGGTCACACACTCAACGACCTAATCCATTGGAACCCGTTTCAGAACTGCTCCTTTACAGAAAGTATGCCTTAGGAAGCAATGCCCTTGGGGCTTTTATTTTCTTGAGGAGAAGCCCAGATTTTTTTTTTTTTAAGTTAAAAACATTAAACTATGTATCTGTACGAGGGCTTGTGTATCTGCGTTTCGGTGCCTGCAGAGGCCCGAGGTCAGAACCCCAGGAGCTGGAGTAACTGGAGGTTGTGAGCCCCTGAGGTGGACTCTGGGTGCTGAACTTGGATCCTCTGAGAGAGCAGTTTGTGCTCTTAACCAATGAGCACTCTCTCCAGCGGAGCCCAGATTCCTCCCACCCCTGTTACTGATTAAGCAGTTGATTTTTGTTGTTGTTGTTAAGACAAGGTCTCATTGTGTATCCTTGTCTGTCCTAAGAGTCTATGTAGACCAGGCTGGCCTCAAGCTCAGGGAGATCTGCCTGCCTCAGCTTCCTGAATGCTGGGGTTAAAGGATGGCCTGATTTTTTAAATCTTTTCTTACCCTATTTTTTTGGGGGGGGAGGGGGGTTTCGAGACAGGGTTTCTCTGTGTAGCCCTGACTGTCTTGAAGCTTACTCTGTAGACCAGGCTGGCCTCGAACTCACAGAGATCCGCCTGCCTCTGGCTCCCTGAGTGCTGGGATTAAAGGCCTGTGTCACTACCGCCAGGCTTCCTCTCCAATTTTGAGTTGACCTAGAAGCCATGATTTTTCCCATTTTGCCATTGACTATATAGTCCCTCACTCTATTTTTCATTTTTAAAACTTTTTAAGGTATTGGGGATTGAACCTGGGTCTTGGCCATATTAGGCAAGTGTTCTACCATTAAGCTCAATCTCTGATCCCCTCTACCCTTTTTCTTAGCTCTCTTCAGATAAAATCTCATTACACAAGATCTCTTTGAGACCGTTGTGCAACAGATCATTTTTTTTTCTCTCCTGAGACAGGGCCTGATGTGTCCCATGCTGGCTTCTGTCTCGACTACACTGTCATCTATGTAGACCTTGAACTTCGAATCCTCCTGTGTGTGCCATGCTAGGGATGCAGTCCTTCCTGCTTGTCAGGCACTCTGTCGGCCGAATTACATCTCTGGCCTTAGGTTTGACAGTTGTTCAGCCGTACCGTCACCCCTGAGGAAGCAGCACTTTCAGTCCCCTGAAGTGGACCTTCTTGTTCCTCTGCTGTCACTCTTAACATCAGGGAGCCAGTGATGAGCGGTCACCAAGGGTTCGTCTGGAGCTTTGACTTGTGTGACCGTTTTTATTCTGTGATAGGATGATGATACCCTTATGGTTGATATCTGATAATACAGCTTGGTTCTGAGGACAGTTCATTTCTTTTGGTGTGTGTGGTACTGCGTCTGAAGGCCTTGCACATACCAGGCAAACTCTTCTTCTCAACTGTTTTCCCAGAGCCACACCTTCCCTCCAGGGTCTCAATATGAAGTTTTGCAAAGAGGACATTATGCTAATGCATTTTTTCTAGTAGACAATGAACAAAATTCAAGAATTTGGTAATTTCTTACATTTGTATAGTAGACGATTACCACCCCCCACCCCCAAGGCTGGGAAAGGAACTCAGGACCCTCACACATGCTAGGCAAGTGAAGTATTCTACCCCTGAATGTCATTGTGTGTTTGAGACAGGGTTTTTCTCTGCAGCCCAGGCGAGGCACTAAACTCTTTGGAGTCCTTCTGTCTCAGTCTCCTGAGAGCTGGGATGGCAAGTCTGCCACCACATCTGACTCTCAGGTTTCTTCTTCCTTTTTAAACCTTATAAATGGTTCTTCAGAGTGAACCCAGGGCCTTAGCTGAGCGCAGGGCAAGCACTGTACCCCTGAACCCTACCTCCATACCCAGCCCAGTTGTTTGCTTTGCTTGTCATTTTGAGATAGGATCTTATGTAACCTTGAACTCTTCATTCTCCTGCCTCTACCTCCCCAGTACTAGAATTAATGATAGCCGTGTAACACCACTCCTGACCAGGCCTCTTTTCTTTTTCCTTTCCTTTTCTTTTTTTTTTGACATGGCATCTCTCTGTGTAGCCCTGGCAATCCTGGAACTCATTCTGTAGACCAGGCTGGCCTCAAACTCACAGATATTTGCCTGCCTCTGCCTCCTGAGTGCTGGGATGAAAGGTGCCCCAGCTTAATTTTTTAAAAAACAGCTAGTTGAGAGTGACATGATAGGATACTAGAAACAGTTTCTGTGAGATTATGATCGTATAATTATCTGATGAGTGACGGAGTCGGCCTTAGAAGATCCCTTGATTTCTTTTGTCCACATAGTATTACTTCAAAATCCTAGTCTTAATGATGTCTTCTGGTATTTGCCTTCTAATACATTTTCTGTTAAAGTATAGTCCATAATATGGAGGCACTCCTTTTTACTTCAAGTTTTGTGGTTTTAATTTTCCCAGAATTTATTGATTGAGCGTAGACAGTGAATTTGGAAGGACCCAGATAAGGAAAGGTTAGCAGCCGATTTCACCATGCACTGATGGAGCCAGAGACGGCATCTGGTAGGCAAGGCTTCCCTTGAAGCTTGAGATATGCATCCTTTTCTGCAGTTAGCTGTTTCTTTGTCGTCTTTTTTTTTTTTTTTTTTTTTAAGACAGGGTCTTACCTGTATTCCAGGGTGGCTTTATGGTACCCAGGATGGCCTTGAGTTTGTGGCAATCCTCCTGTGTCAGCTTCCTGAGTGCTGAGATGACACGCTTGAACTACCATGCTTATGTTGCAGTTAGCTGTTCCCGGTTAACCTGTTCCATTATCTCTATCCCTGTTTTGTTCATTCCAAGCTTATTCATTCAACTACTTAGGCAAATAATAAACCTTTACTCGGTGTCAGATACTGTTTTAGGTACTAAGGATACAGAAGTGAATAAACATCTGTGCCGTCTAGAGTCTACAGTGCCTAGGAAGCAGACAGTCAACAGAGCAAATGAGTGAATTGTATTCCATGGTTAGATGTAGATAGGTGCTGAGATGAAAGAGGATGGTGTGGTCTGCGTGTGTGTGGTAAGAGGGTAAAGATGAGGGGCTGACAGTTTCCGCATAGAGGCCAGGGATAGTGTCATGAAGGTGACACATGAAGGCCAGGAGTAAAGCGAGAGAGCATCCCTGGGGGAGGGCACAAGAGCCGTGAGGCAGGAATATGTCTGGTGTGTCTGGGGACAGTCGGTGAGGCTGCAGTGGTCGGATAGTAGCCCAGGAGATCAGAAGGGTTAGAGGGCCGATCACGTTCCAGCTTTGTTGGCCTTAGGATGCGATTTGATTCTTGTTCTGAGATGGGAAATCATTGAAGAAGCAGCATGATGTAATGCAATTTCATGTTTAATTGGGTCATTCTGATAGCTCTTGAGAAAGCAGTGATGGGGGACAAAGGTAGAATTGAGGAGCATAGTTAAGGAAGATGCTGTAATTAAAGCAAGGAATCGTGGCTTGGACCAGAATAGTGGTGACAGCGGTAATAAGAAGTACATGCTGGCCGGGCGGTGGTGGCGCACACCTTTGATCCCAGCACTCAGGAGGCAGAGGCAGGCAGATCTCTGTGAGTTCGAGGACAGCCTGCGTTACAGAGTGAGTTCCAGGAAAGACTCCAAAGCCACACAGAGAAACCCTGTCTCAAAAAACCACAAAAAAAAAAAAAAAAAAAAAGAAGAAGAAGAGAAAAGAAAAGAAAAAGAAGGATAGTATAGCCAGAGAACTATGCAGAAGCCAGAAAATCTGGCTTGGTAGGTAACTCACACTAGGTGTCTGTGGAGACTAGATGTTGGATCCCCTTGAACTAGAGTTACAGCAGTTAAGAGCCACCTGGTGTGGGTGCTGGGAACCAAACTTGAATCCTCTGTAAGCACTTACAATTAATCTCTGAGCCATCTCTTCAGTCCCTGCATTGCTTGGTTTTTTTTTAGACAGGTTCTCACCATGAAGCCTTGGCTGATCTGAAACTCACTGTGTAGATCAGGCTGGCCTTGAACTCACAGAAATCCTCCTTTCTCTGCCCCCCTCAATGCTAGGATTAAAGATATGCACCACCAGCCTGGCCCCTGCATTTTTTTTTTAAACCTGTGTATCTGTTTTAGTTCCTGTTCTGTTGCTGTGAAGAGACACCATGACTAAGGATATTTATAAAAGAAAGTCTTTAATTGGAGGTTTGCTTACAGTTTCAGAGGGTTAGTCCATGAACATCCTGAAAAGGAGGAATGATGTAGGAATAGTAGCTGATCCACAAACTGCAGGGAGAGAGAGAGAAAGAGAAAGAGAGCCTGGGCCTAGTGTGGACTTTGAAACCTCAAAGCCCATTCCCAGTCACACACAAGGACACATCTGCTCCAACAAGGCTATATACCTTCTAATCCTTCCCAAACAGTTCCACCAACTGGCAACCAAGCCTGAGTTCAAATATATGAGTCAGGGGGCATTCTCATTGGAATCCCACAGACTCTCAAGGACTTTTCCATGTCAGTACTTGGAATATTCTTCATTATAGTTGGATAGGACTTGTAGATAACCTGATTAATTTAGGCAGTTTCCTATTGATAAACATTTGGGGTGTACCAGTATCTAGTTTCCCTCTAACCCCAAGTCACTTTTATTGACATTTTATATATAGGCAATGAAGTGTACAGATATTGGACATAGAGTTAAATATTTAAGCTTGGGCAAATGTTACATTTGTGACCACCATTAAAATCAAAAAGAATATTTCTACCACTTCTAGTGTTGCC